CCCCAAAACCCCAAAACCCCAAAACCCCAAAACCCCAAAACCCCAAAACCCCACTTAGCTGCAATCATACTGAATTTTTAGATAAGTCTCTTCTTACTGTTCATTTTAAGATTGGATGTAGTGGAGACCTACAGTTTACTGCTAGGTAATTACCTTAGGTTTCATGATATCCTTCTTATGATACTTCTTATACCCTTTTTGTGCGTTTGAAGACTTGAGATAATCAACCTATATTTTATTCTCGATATTAGGAGTTAGGTAAGCCGCTGAAGAATACTTCGGATGCTCCTGCCTTGACTGGAGATAGCTTCTATAATCAGAATCTATATTTCCATGAAATCCAAAGGTTTCGATGTGGTTTAGGTTATTATTCTCCGTTCCTAAACATTACAGCCGCTTTTACAATCTTTGGAGAGATATCCATTAGATCACTCCTTGTATTGACTCTGTGGTCGGGAATAATCTTCAAGTGGTTCACTAGAAGCTACAGACTTTTTCTTTCTCTTTCTCTGAGTCTTTCGAGCTATAATTTTTAACCAATTTTTCATACAGAAGGAAGTTCTAATTTGATCAATATTTTTCTGAATTTCCCGAATTGTACTCTTGCATTCAAAACTATTAGGCTTTCAGAACTTTTGAATAGATGTTGAAAATGACTCTAAGAAAGCTCAACTGACTTGCTCCACTCAGGAAGGGCATGGCGGCTTAATTTCACTATTATTTGCTGATTTAGTCACAACACTGGAGTCATAGTTTGCATTAATATTCTCTTTATCCCCATTAATAATGTTATGGAAGTAATCACGGTTCCTGCTATGAATCCTGCTGGTAGTATGAGGCTTCTCTAGTATAGTCTCTGATTTGGATTCAGTATATTCAAGAGAGTTTCGGATATTATGAGACCTCATCCTTTCCTTTTTAGGGTAAAGTATCTTTAGACTTCTCCTCTCTAGAGGGTTGATTCTGGGATGGATAATCATACTCTGATAAATTCTTGATCGCTGATGAAGAAGAGTCTTGAGGTACATTCCTTGTATCTGGATGAAAATTATTCTTTCTTTGGATAGAACCTTCATTTATTATCTGCTCCATTGTTTGGAAATAAGTATTCTCAGTCTTTGTAGTATCAATTCTAGTATTAATGCTCTGCAGAACAGCTATGAATTCATTCCTAATACTTTGTATTTGAGTGTTCATGATCTGCATTACTTCCCTGGTAGTTAGAGGCTTTTCGCCCTCGTCTTGTCTCTTGTGAGGTCTTCTGCCTACTGAGTGTGGGGTGTGCTAGAGGATAAGGCGAAACTTACTCTGGAATCTCTCCTCCGATTATTTTCCACTTGTTTTCCTCTTCTTTCATTTTTTATTTTTATAACTACTACTGTGGATGTCTGAAGGACCCTCCTGGTGGGAAGGAATGCCTATCTCTTTACATTCAAGCGACGAGTTTGGGTCTTCATCTTTATTTTTCTTCTGATATTTTGGAGAAAATTGTTGTAGATCGGAACTTGATACCTCATTATTTGTATTCTTCGTTCAGAGTAACTTAAGCTCTTCTGTTGAGATATTGTTGGAGGTATTGCCCGCATCTCCAGAATATAGTTTGATAGAAGGGCAAGGGCCTACTATTTCAAAACCTAGGGGATCAGAATCTATGTTTTTAGGTTTGCTGAAGGATAGAATCTTTCCCTTATTTTCTCCTAGCATCCTTTCAAAATCTCTGTAAGGAGCTATGTCGCTCACTACTCTCATTATCATCATTATTTTTCACAAATTTTAGTTGATTTCTATGTGTAATTTTAGGGTTCATTCAGTAGTCATTCTCTGGCTGGATTAAGGATGAATAGCTATCGAAATCAAAAGGATGCTTATCAGATTGCCTTTTGTCATATATAATAGAAACATCTCTGCTCTTGAACATTTTACTATTCTCGAACTCCTTATTGGATTTATTTATGTTCAAATTTCTCTGTCTTTCTTTTGTTTTGGTTAAAATGTTTTTCAGAATCTCTTGAACCAAATTTCTTAGCTTTTTGGTGACTTTTTTGCTCAAAGCTTGATTCATTTATGTTATCAAGCCTCTTAATCTCATTTTGTATTTGAAATTCATTAGTTTCTCTCATGTTGGTGTTGGACATTGAGCTTTCATCATTGTCACTGTGGAGAAACATATTTTTGTATGTTTCCAGATTAATTTTCTTGTAGAATCTTAGAGACTCTCTGCTAAGCGATTCAATATCGGCATCATAGGTCTTTTGGCTAATGTCTTTCATTTTTAAATTAAAATTTGAATTCAACCGTTGTTGTATTATTTGGGGTTTTGGGGTTTTGGGGTTTTGGGGTTTTGGGG